GATACAAAATTCAAGGCCAGACTGGGCAGTGAGAAGGCTGAGGGAAACTCTCTGAGTGGCTTTAAAAGACCCTGGATATGATTCCCTACCAGACCTCTTTGGGCAAAGAACCTAAGCTGACAAGACATGTGCCTAACTGGTATATAAAAATATTCTATAGCACTAATCAGAGAAATTAAGTCAAATCCATAATGAGGTATGATCTCACTCCTATTTAAAGGGATATTATTAAAAGACAAAAAATTACAAATATTGGGAAAGAGACGAAGAGAGGAGGTTTTGCACACTGTTGGTGGGAACTATTGTGGCAGCTCCTCAAATAATTAGAAACAGACCACACATTCTTCCAGTCCTACTTCTAGATATATGACCCAGGACTTAATGCCAGTATGCTGAGATAGGAGGTTCCAACGTTAACTTCAGCATTGCTCACAAAAATAAAGAGATGGAATGAAGGCATGTGTTCATCAAGAGATGAATGGACAAAGAAATCATGGACATGTATATACATATACACACACACACAAACACATAAAAATGTCATTCAGCCAGTCTTTAATGGTGGCACACGCCTTCAATCCCAGCCCTCAGGGAGGCAGAGGCAGGCGAATCTCCCTGTGTTCGAGGCCAGCCTGGTCTATAAGAGTTCTAGGACAGTTGGGGATACACAGAGAAACCCTGTCTAGGGAGAAAAACAAAAGTCATTCAGCCTTTAACAAAAAGTAGAATGGTATCACTAACTCATGTAGAAGGGAGGGATTTGGGGCTTAGAGAAGGTTTTAGTTAAATGGTACAAAATTTTAGTTAGGAAGACTACTAAAGAGATCTGTTACAACATAGTAAAATATACTTATCAATATGTAATATTCTTTAAAAACATAACAGCAGATCTTAAGTGTTCTCACCATAATTTGGTTAGTATGTAAGATGATAAGTAGTTAAATTTTGCCCTTCTACTTTTTGGGGGAGGCAGGGGTATTGAGACAGGGTTCCTCAGTTTAACAGCCCTGGCTGTCCAGGAACTTGTAGACCAGGCTGGCCTTGAACACACAGAGATCTGCCTGTCTCTGCCTTCTGAGTGTTGGGTTCAAAGAGTGTGCACCACCATGGCCAATTTAGCCCTTGTATGTGTATAAATAAAACACAAAACACTACTGTATATGAAAAGTTTTATTATTAAGTTAAATACTAAAACTATAAAGGCACTGCTAAATTGATTTAATTCGATATATCAATTAAATGAGGTCTTACTGCTATAGTCTGTCTAATTCCCAAACTTGTTCCCCATGACGGTAGTGATGGGGAGGTAAGAAGCTCTCAGTTCAGCTTATTGCACCCTCAGAAGGGACTGTGGACTGACTGACTGCATGATCTTATCCTCATACTTCTACTCCTATTACTGCAACCACCAAAAGGGGGTATTAGTGAAGTCCTCGCCAGAGCCTGCACCCTGACTCAGACTATCTTCCCTTGTTATCATAAGAAGACTACCTTGGACTCTTTGTTGCAGTAATAGAACAGACCAGCATACTGACAGACTATAATTATTACTGAGTCTTTCAACCTATTAATGTACAATACCTCTCAAGTTAGGTACTCTATAGTTTCTGCCAAATTTTGGTGTTTACTTGTCCTGTGCTGCTGGGGACTGCATCCCAAGGCAATAGGCACAGTCAGACTGCTACAGTGACCTCAGCATTACTTTAAGTAAGAATTGTATTACTGAAAGTTTGGTGTACAAGAACTGTTAAAGTAAGTAGCATTTTAAAAAATTCAATTTTCAATTGTTCACATCCAGAAGACAATATGCAACCAAATCTTTCATAATGACTGTATACATTAAACTTACATATTCTTCCTAACAGCTCTTTTGAGTCCTTAGAATTTTCTATGTGATCTTCCTAAAAATAATGGGCCTTATTTCAGTTTTTCCAATTTACGTATAATTCCTTTTTTTGTATTTTTATTATACTACTTTGTATTATACTTTTATGTATTATTTTACAGACTTTTTGGACTAGTTAGACCTCTGGAATAATATTGAGTAAAAGGAGTGAAAAGATGGAAATGGAAGCTGGGAATGGTGACATGTAATGATATTTTGACAAATAAAAGTTTGACTGAAGGTAAGAATGCAGAGCTAAGCCAGAAAGTGGTGGCACACACCTTTAATCCCAGGACTCCGGAGACAGAGGGGGATCTGTTAGTTCAAGGCCACCCTGGGCTACACAAGATTGAATCTGTCTAAAATAGAAACAGAGCTCACACATAGGTGATCCTAACACTTGGGGTCACATGCCTTTAATCCCAGCACTAGAAGTGGAGAGAGGAACTCAGGTTCAGTTTCCTGTTTGAGACAGCTGCAGTCTGAGGACAGTATGGCCCCTTTGGGCCATCCCAGCACTCCGGAGGGCAGAGGCAGGTGGATCTCTGTAAGTTGGAGGCCAGCCTGGTCTACAAGAGAAACAAGAGTTTCTGGACAGGCTCCAAAGCTACAGAGAAACCGTAGGGATAGGAGAGGGGAGGTCCTTCTAGTGGCTGGACAATCTGCTTCTCTGATCTTCTCAGCATTAATCCCTATATCTGACACTGAGATTTTATTAAGACCAACTAGAATTCATGTTACAGTGACACATCCCTTTAGTCCCTTTAGTCCCAGGCTCAAGAGAAAAGAGGCAGAAAAGTTTCTTGAGTTCATGCATAGTGAGCTCAAGGACAGTCAGGATTATAAAGAGAGACCCTGTTATAAAACAAAACAATTTCCGCTCAACATATATACACAATCTATCTTTACTGCTTTCTTTAAAAAAGAACAACAACAAAAAATTTAGATGAATTCTAAAACACATATTTTTCATGTAACCAGGGTTAGGTTTCACTTATTTTTTGTCTAAATTTAGTTTGTTTCCCACTTATTCTCAATCTTTTTCAATTTATTTTGTTTTATCCCTTAACTCTACCTCTTTTTTTTAGTGTCCTCAGAGAGAACCTTCAATGGATATTTTAGACCTCTCTAACAAATACTTAATGTCATAAATATTCTTGAGCTTCAGTTTCACACCTGATGTCTTGTCAAGCGTGCAGAGAGAAATCAGTTCTGCCAGTGACGTTAATAAGTCCATCTAAAGTGGAAGAAGGTCCTACAAGGCAATCCTTTGGGAACACGGGAACGTAAGCAATACAGACTGGACTAACCAAAAATCTCTGCAGACTACAGTTAAGTTAGAAAATGCATTTATAATACGATCAACTCAATACAAGTCTGACACAATACATAAGAAAATGTAGCTGGAGAATAAATTTTAGCATTCGTAATAGCAAAATGGTAAGTATACATTCTGCTACTTTCCCGACTTCAAGATTTTTCAAGTGGTAATTATCTCTACACACAATATACACTGCGAAACATGTTTCTACCTTTATTTTAGGCACTAATTTATCTTCATAAACTAAGATAAAATAGTTTCTAGGAATTAGGGTGGTAAAGAGGCTATCTAAAACATAAATCCTTAGGTTCAATTTAACCACTGCAAAAAAAACAAAAAATGTAAAAGGGGGTTTTAAAATTTTGATATAGCTAGCTTGACTATAATCCAAATACAAGTCTCAATTGTGCTGGTTAGCTTTATGTCAATTTGATACAAAGCCAGTTGTTTTGAAAGAAGGAACCTCAATTGAGAAAATGCCCTCTACTGGATTATCCTGTGGGAAGCCCTCTGGTGCATTCTTGGCTGGTGACTGGAATGGGAGGACACAGCTCACTGTGGGCAGTGCCATCCCTAGGTTGATGGTCCTGGGTTCTACTGGAAAGCAGGTTGAGCAAGCTAGTAAGCAGCGACTCCTCCATGGCCTCTGCATCAGCTCTTGCCTCCAGGTTCCTGTCCTGTTGGTTCTATTTTTATTCTGACTTCCCTCAGTGATGGCCTGTGATGGGGATATTTAACCTGAAAACTTTCAAGTTGTCTTTGGCCATGGTGTTTTATCACAGCAAAAGAAATGCTGCTAAGCCGGGTGCTTTAATCCCAGCAGAGGCAGGTGGATCTCTGTGAGTTCGAGGCCAGCCTGGTCTATAAGAGCTAGCTCCAGGACAGGAACCAAAAAAGCTACGGAGAAACCCTGTCTCGAAAAAAAATCCAAAAAAAAAAAAAAAATACTGCTAACTAAACTACGTCACATTCACAGGTAGCAAGCAATTGTTTTTAGTTGTACTTATAACAAATACTTTGTCAAGCCAATTATAAATGGTTTTATATTTTTACCTTTTTTAAAATGTGTGTTATTTTCTAACTTAATAGTAACTAGTAATAATAAATAATATAACTTTAAGACATTATTTGGAATTACAGTCACCTAAATTGGTGACCATTACTAGCTATGGACAAGGACATGTGTTATTTGTGTATTAGTTCCACTTAATATACTCATTCATCTGATACACTATGAACTCAGTAACTAGGTAGAGTGAATTACTAGGATATATGCCTATCTGTACAAGTATTCATAAGAAGCACAAAGAATCAAATAGTTGTGGTTGATGGTGTCAGAGGCAATAGTCTATAACAAATGTTATTAATTACTATCCCTCTGAAAATGAACCTAAATTTACATAGTCAATGCTGAACCACAGGTGATATCTGTAAATACCACATGCAGTCCAGTGTTGGTGGACACCCATGTCCAGTTTTCTGCCTTTCAGGTTAGAGTCTCAAAAATGTCTACAGTTGATTTTTACAAGTAAATTCTAATATCCTGTCTTAGGTTACTGATACCCTTTAATCCAAATGCCAAATTTATTATAAAGTAACTGGCAATTAAGTATTTTCCAAAAGTGCCAGTAAGAGTACAATAATACGTGTACTTATGGTTCCAACAAGTAACTCTGGAGAAGGGCCAAGAATCTGCATTATTTCTAAACTTCTTTTGTAATTAAAATGTGTGACTAGCCAGTCTCAGAACTAGAGTCACTACAGTTCATGCTTTAAAAAGAAAAAAAATGATACCTTGATCTGCTGTCTTCGCAGCATGGCAAGCTCTCGCATGTCTCGGAATGGCTGAAGTAAATACTGGTAGAGTTCGGTTGTGGCCTCTGCAAGGCTGCTGTAGGCTTCATCCTCCATCTGATACAAGTCCAAAAGCTCCACCATGCTCTCTATAGTCTTGTGCTTGTCTAAGAGCTGTGAACAGAAAGTTTCAAAGCTAAGAAAACTAAATATAGTAACTGATAATAACTACTGTACTTGCTTTTGGCCCAGAATCAAGGTTACTAAACACAGTTTGCTTGGTCACTTATCTCTATACTTCATGTTTCACTATACGGACCACAGCCTGATCTAATCATTAGGGTGAAGGAATACACACTACCTGCCTCCTTTTAAGTCGTCCCCCAGCGGTGCTCTCCAGTCATATAATGAAACTAAACCACACAAAAGCCTGCTTTATTACTGTGCTGGTTAGTTGCTAACACAAACCTACACGCATCTGGGAAGAAGGACTCTCAGCTGATGATTACATCATCAGACTATCCTGTAGGCATGTCTATGGGGCATTTTCTTGATTACTAATTGATGCAGGAGACCCAGCCCACTGTGGGCGGTGCCATCCCTGGACAGTGGGCCTGAGTTTTATAAGGTAGCTGAGTAGACTATGGAGAAGTTCAGTGCCACTTCATCAATAATGTAAGTGGGAAAACTAACTCAGCTACATGCCTCAGATCCAGCCTCAAAAAGGACTACAAGGACAAGTGCACACACACACCTAAAAACTAAAACAAGTAACAATAAAACCCCACCAGCTCCAAATATCAGACAGACCTATGGTAGGCCATAAAAAGAGTCTTAAAAACTAAACAGAGCCAGGCAGTTATGGTGCACACCTTTAATCCCAGCACTTGAGAGGCAGAGGCAGGCGGATCTCTGTGAGTTCGAGACCAGCCTGGTCTACAAGAGCTAGCTCCAGGACAGGCTCCAAAGCTACAGAGAAACCCTGTCTCAAAAAAACAAAAAAATTCAACATAACTAGAGGTTTGTTTGTTTGTTTTTTTTTAAACCACAATGAAATTACAATAGCTGGGGTGCTCTAAAAAAATCTAAGTTAGGGACTGGAGAGATGGCTCTGCACTGTCTGTTCTTACAAAGAATCCAGGTTGATTTTGGTTGATTCCCAGCACCCACATGGTGGCTCAAGACTATAACTCCAGTGATGGGAATATACACCCTCTTCTGGCCTCCAGGGCCTCTGGGAATACACACATGGTAAATAGTCATTTATTCAGCAAAAACAACCATACATATAAAACTTTTTTTTAAAAAAAGTTTTTAAAATCTGGAAAATAACACAGAGACATATCAAAATGGAATAATATGTAGCAATTAAAAGAACTACAGCTTGTTAAGGAAGAGAGAACATCCAGAGTAGGGTAAATAAGTTTCTAAGCTCGTGGTAACTATTTAAAAGAAAAGGCTCCCATGAGGCTGCCTCAAGAGAAGTAACTGAACAGAGAGAAGAATGAGAGAAGGGAAACAAAGATGCATATATTACTCATACTTTTTAAAAACCAGCCATCAAGCAAGTGTATGTGTGTTTACTTATTAAGCCAGGATTTCATTATGTAGCCCAGACTAGCCTTGATCTCAGATCCCCCTACCTGTTCCAGTTACTTGAGTGCTGGGGTTCTAGGTATACACTATCATACACATTGTATAGACTTACAAAGTAAAGGTTTTGTAGACCATTCCTTCTCTACTTCCCAAAGATATTCTGGCTTACAAAAAGGAAGGAGGGGATAGCAATGACTAAATCCCTTCACCTAATACCCCAAATTATGTATACCTTTCACATGAGATGAGGCATAATGAGTCTAAAAATGATAAACTCCTCTCTTCCTGTGTCCCAACTTTTCTGAAGCAGCAAAGTCAGGTGTGAATGTCTTCTCTTGGCAATTCACGTAATGCCAAGTTAATGAATGCAGTATCTCCCACTATGGAAATGACCAGTTAGTTTATTGTTGAGCTCTCAGATCCCAGCAATGAGTTCTAATTTGAGGCAAGAGTGCCCACCTTTATAGTGACCCACTACTCCAAAGCATGCTGCATGCTACATACAGCAGAAATAATAACAATAGTAAGGAAGGGTCGGACTTGCTTGGGGGAGAGGGAGTCCTAAATTGTGCAATAAATCCTTGCAAGAAAAAGTAGATAAACCTTATCTTTAATTTTACTTGAAAATGAAACTTTCTTTAAAATGATTCAACAAGTTCACAAACAGCAAAATAATAAAAGAAATGAGAAAAAAACAAATGGCATTAACATTTCTACATATAATGAAGCTCTCCCTAGTCAGATTGGTAGTTAAGTAACCATGAATGACTAGGGAGAATAGGCTTCTTTGAGTTCTGCTTTCAAGAACACTAAAGTTAATGCAGTACGGTAAAATGGTTGTAGGCACTACTTTCTGCCAAATAAAAACATCCACTATATGCCTATTAAGTTTCACAGATTTGAACAACTAAAATAGAAATAAGTTTTTAAATATTAAAGTACTTATCCAGTATTTCCTACATGAATTTATTCTCCAACAGAGCAGTACTCAACTATGCGGCAACTAAATTTAATACTCTTGCAGAAGCCCAGGGCATCTCACCTAACAATACTAATTTATTAATCTGTCTTTGCTATAAAGTTTCATGTTTTTCCAACACTAGATTACTTTAAAAGCAATAACAACTGTATTTTAATTTCAATTATACTTCTATTTTTAATCTAAGTACTCTGGAAATAATCTTAAATGAAATGTTCTTAAAATTACAATTTAATCAACGGACTTCAAATCTTTTTCTGTAATTCATGATGAAGGATTTCAATGAAACTGGCACGGGGTGAGTGCTCACCACCTACCTAGCATAGGAAGGCGAAGAGAGGCAATCGCTACGCAGCTAAGGAAAACCTGAAAAGCTCAGAGAATAAACACAGTGCGTTGGACACTAACAGACCATAAACTGTGAAATATACAAGATGTTATTATACATAATACATGGGTAGAAAAATAATTAGGACAATTAGAATATTTAGGATTGAGGCTCTCAGGGATAAAGAAACCGTGAGAAGAATCTAAGTGAAGCTGATCCATGTAAGCTTGACAAATTTGAAAGCATTCACTGAGACACTAAGAATGCAGATGTACCTGGATTTGAGTAAAACATCCCTCAAAATATTTTCTAAGGGCTCAAGACCAATCATCATACTACAGTGACAGTTGAGATAAGTGGAGATAAGGAGGCGGGGAGAATAAAGTTCTGTGTTACTTCTGCTTCAAGATCTGACACAGAGGGCTGGAGATCACTGGCAGCTCTCCCAGAGGACTCCCAGCACCCACAGTAGCTCAAAGCCACCTGTACCCTCTTCGGGCCTCCACAGGCACTGCACACATGTGCATACAGACATATGTGCCGGCTCAACACCTATAAACATAATAATGGTTTTGGGTTTCTTTGGTTGTTTTTTTTGTTTTGTTTTGTTTTACTCTGACAAAGCTCTTCTGCAATTTTAGGGAATTACTTCACAAACATAGAAGATGCAAAGTAAAAATTTACCAAGCATTACATATAATTCGCTAAGCCTAATAAGTAAAACAAATGGTGTGTGTAGGATTGAACCTTGTTTACACAAGTAGGCAAATACTCCATTACTTAGCTGTATTTCCAACCCTTTTCTTTTTCCCTTATGACAGACTCATATAACCCAGGCTAGCCTGTAACTCTCTAAGAAAGTATCCAACGACCTTGAACTTCTCATCCTTCTGTGCCTACCTCCCAAATGCTGACCTTATGAACCCAGGACTTTCTGCAGAGTAGGAAGGCATTCTGTGGGAGACATCCAGCTCTTTGTTTCCTTTTGTTGTTGTTGCTCTGGCTAATCTGGCACTTGCTAAATAGACAGATCCTGTATCTGCCTCAACAGTGCTAGGATTAAAGGCAAACCATCATGTTTGGCATTTTGGCTTTACCCAACTTTTTTTTCTGCCACAAAGTCTTGTAAATTACTTGGACTTGCGGCGGTGGTGGCGCACGCCTTTAATCCCAGCAGAGGCAGGTGGATCTCTGTGAGTTCGAGGCCAGCCTGGTCTACAAGAGCTAGTTCCAGGACAGGCACCAAAGCTACAGAGAAATCCTGTCTCGAAAAACCAAACCAAAAAAAAAAAAAAAAGTTACTTGGACTCCTGTGGCTCTAATAGGGGTTGAATTTGCAATTCTACTTTAGCCTATTAAGCAGCTGGAATTACAGGCTTGCATCAGACCCCTCTAGATAGCTTTTAATTTGTTTCCATCTCAATGTAATCCTGGTAAGAATGGGCTCTGAACCTAAGAGATTTTTCAACCTTAAGTCTAAAACAAAAGTATCCTTAATGAAAAATTTCTCTCACACAAGGTTATAGTTTTCTTTAGTTTCTTAAAGGAGTCAGTAATAACTTTAAAAAAAAATTCTTTTTCAGCTGAGCCACAGGCCCAGTAAGCAGAAGAGTGGGTGGGTTACTGGGAGGAGGAGCAGAGGAAGAAACTGTTCAATGGAAACCAGGTAAAAGAATAAGTGGTTGCTATATCACACAGGTCATTACTATGTAGTTACTACTGTTTCACAGAATCCAAAACAGATTTTGAAGAACTACATGTATGAGAGGACACCTGAATCCTGGTTAAATCAATATAACATACAAATGTACCGAACTATTACCTAGTGCCCTAAATAAACATGATTATTGTGAATAAATGGACTCAAGGGTCCCTAAAAACTATAGCAAAAGAAAAACAACGCCAATTTTCTTCACGAATGGGTGCTAGGATCATCTAACTACATGAGATACTTTGTCACTATGATAGCAAACTGGCAGAGAGCAGCAACCCTACCACAGCTCCAACGCCATCACACCCTAAGCTCTCACACTTATCAATGACTCACACACAACTTTTAATCCTGCAAGACCCATTCATTGACACTGCCTTACACAGACACACGTTTTTACAGTGCCTCTTCTGTTCAGATGTACAAATGTTCATTGTGTTACAACTGCTTACTGCATTCCATACAGTAATATTATGCAGCCTTGTAATTTAGAAGCAACAGATCACAGCATGTAGCTTAAGCGTACAGTTCCATAACACCTACACCAATGTAAGGACGGT